CTATTTATACCTCGGCCCAGCCCCCAGCAGGGTGGGGGTGCCAGGCGTGAGCTGGGCCCTCCTCAAAAATCCCCTCAGGGAGGGGGTCCGGGGAGGGGGCTGGATTGCACAACCCCTAGGTCATGTGACAGGGAGGGCAGGCTCAGGGCCATCAGGATTTGGGGATCCGCATGGTCAAGGGTGCAGATGGGGGGCTGACCCTGAGGGGTGGAGAACGGAGGGGAGCTGGACTGGGGGGCACCTTGAAAAGGGCTGGGTCTGGAGGTGGCTGTGGCCAGGGGAGAGGAGTCAGGAAGAGGGGCAGGGCAGATTTGGGACCTGAATTTCAGGGAGCAGAGGAGGGGAGTGGGGGCTCAGGCACCCATGGCAGCTGGGGCGGATGGGGATGGCCAGGGGACCTCCAGGCTCTCAGTCCATCATCGGAACCCTGAGGTGGAAACATCCGTGGGTGTGGCATGGCGGGGGCCCTGGGTGGTGTGGGGAGTGGAGCCCTCAGTGCCAGGGGCTGCCCCAGAACCTAGAGGGAAGAAGCCAGCACCTGGAGGGTGGGCCAGGGCCAGACGCCTGGGTGTTCTGAGCGCGGCGAGGGCTTGCGGGGAGAGCCAGGTTCATGCAGGGCCGTGTGGGATGGGCATGAGGGGAGACTGAGGCAGGCTTGTGTCAAGGTCCTACAGAGAGGTACCCGGGGTCTTACACCGAGTGTGAGGAGACCCCTTGGAGCTTCAGGGGGGTCCGGCCTAAGCTTGGGCTTACAGGATCGGGCCTAGCCTCCCACCAGAGACCACAAAGCACCAGGCAGCAAAAGGCCTCAACTTTATTACTTCCCACCAGCCCCTCCGATTGATGGGGTGATTCCGGGGTCACCAGGCCTCGGGGCCTGGGGGTCCGAAGCGCCGCAGCAGCTGTTCCTGGTCCTCCAGGTCCTTCCGCACCTTCTTGCGCATGTAGAAGATGGGGCAGTCCCGGCTGTGGGGCCAGGAGGGTCAGCGCTGAAGCTGGCACTGAGGCCCAGCAGGGCCCGGGCGTGGGCCGTTCCCAGGACTTTGGTCCCCAGACCGCTGCCCCCTCCCTTGGCGGGCTGTTTGCTCAGCGGGCATGAGGGGAGCCGATAACAGCCCCCGGAAGGCCCCGGGCCCCCAGCCGTATATCACCTGTCCCCTGGCGTGGGAACCCACCCCGCCCACCCGTTCCCTGGGGAAAGCCCAGCCCACCCCGGGGAGGGGGCCGCACGTGTGTGAACAGAGCACCCACAGCCTCCCTGGGAGGGTGGGGTGGGCGCTGGCCCACTCTGCAGGTGAGGGCACCAAGGGTCCTAAAGCCTCCCAGCCGGGGGGGGCACCTGGTGCAGATGACGTCCTCGTGCAGGCTGCCCTGACAGCGCTGGCACTGGGTCCACAGGCGTGAGAAGCGCTCCTCCAGGGCGTTCAGGTGGGACACCTGGGGGCAGCAGGGGTGAGCAGTGGGCCGGCCCCCAGCGCCCCCCACGCAAACTCCCCTAGCCCCTCACCTCTTTCTGATACAGCTCTGACTCCCGGGGTTGGCAGAACTGGCACACAGCTCCTGGGATGCAGGCGGTGAGCTTAGGGTGCTGGGGCTGGCCCAGGCAGGCCACCACCCCTGCCCCTTCCCCGCCCGCAGCCCATCCCGACTCCCGAAAGTCCCGGAGGCTCAAGAACAAGGGAGCAAGTGTGTGGGGAAAACTCCCTTGGGGAAGCCCCGGGCCTGGCTGGAGACCCTCAAGGAGGTGCGGCAGAGGGGCCTCGCCCAGGGGCCAGGGCAGACCGGGCAGCAATGCTGGCTCCAGAGGTGGGCCCCAGGCAACACCAGGTCCCCACTCACCCTGGTGGCTGGCCCCCCAGCCGATACAGCAGGTGCGGCGCTTGGCAAAGGCCAGGAGGCCGCCCACTTTGCCCGTGAGAACGGTCTTGCAGCGTGTGTGGTCACCCCCTGCAGGAGGCAGGGCAGGCAGTGGGCAGACGCCCTCCTACTCTGGCCACCAGGACCCTCATGGCCCACCCGCCCCCTGGCACCCCGCACACACGCAGAAGCACGGCCTCCGCACGGCCCTCGCCCAGGATGGGCTCGAAGATGCGCAGGAGCGGCTGGGCCAGCTGCTGCTCCAGGTAGTACTGGGTGTCGATGGGCAGGCTGTGCTCCAGCACGAACAGGGGATCCTGTGGCCGGAGAGACCAGGAGGGCCGGTGACTGGCTGCCCTGTGGCTGTGGCGTGGCAGGGGGCTCGGAGGTCATGAGCGGAGAAATGGGTCTCAGGACATCAGGTTGGAGGGGTGGTGGTTAGAAGTCCAGGGACATCGGCTGGAGCAGGGGCAGGCGCAGAGCGGTGGGAAGGGGGGGGGAAGGGGGGACGGGTTTGTGTCTGCAGCCGGGCCCATTTCAGCATTGGGGAGGGAGTGGGGGCTCTATGCAGGCACTGAACTCAGGGCGGGGCAGGGGTTCTGGGGCCAGGCCACACCCCCAGCCCGCCCATCTGGGAAAGCAGAAGTGAGAGTGGGGGGGCAGCCAGGTGGGCCCGACCTCCGACTTCATGTAGGCAGCCACGCCCTTGGCGGCCCCGATGATCACGTAGGGGACGCGGTCGCCCAGGCTGGGCGCACTCCCGGGGTCCCGCTTCCTCATCCTGCGGGGAGACCAGGCGGTGGTGAGGGGAGGGGCAGGAAGCCCAGGCCAGCTGGCAGGGGGCTATTTCTGGCAGCCCGGGGCAGACCTCTCGGCCAGCTCCACGTGGGCCTGCTTGCCCGCGTAGTCGGCGGCAGCGCGGGTCAGCTCCTTGGTGATGACCAGCTGGGAGATGTCGATGCGGTTACACAGCAGGTCCGAGATGACGTCCTGCGCGTGGGCCACAGCACCCGCGGGGTCTCTGCAGGGACACCGCCAGACAGGCAGGTGTCAACAGAGGACACTGAGGGCTGGGGGCTGAGACCAGGATGGGGTCTGTGGGCCGCCCGGGGTGGGGAGGGGCCCTGCCAGGCCACAGGCTGCAAAATGGCAGAGGTAGGCCCTGAATCCACAGCTGTCCAACCCGACTCTTTCCACTGCTTCACCACAGAGTGGTGGGCCTGACACCTGTGTCCCCAGGGGAGAAGGGGCTGAAGGAGGAGCCTGGCCTCCTGGGTGTGAGGGAGAAGGGACTGGGCCGCCCGCAGGGGCTGGGTGAGGGCCCACACCTGTCGATGAGCAGGTGGCGCAGCGAGGCGGTGACGAGGTTAGCCACAAGGGGGCAGTTGTCCCTGCGCACGGCCTCCAGGCCCTTGCAGTCCATGCGGTCGTGTGTGTCGGGCCTCGAGGAGAAGAGCAGGCCTGCATAGCGCTTCTTGCTGATGAGCAGATACGGGAAGTAGACCTGGGAGGGACCCATGGTCCGCACCCTGAGATGGAGGCCAGGGAAGGATGGGCCCTGAGATGCAGGCTTGGACACTGGGGAATCGAGCCCTGGACCTGGCGAGACGGCCCCAAGGGCCCCAGAGCGTTGCTGGAAGATTCTCCTGCACACCTCGGAATCCCAGGTGCCCAGCAGACCGGGCGCCCTGCTCTGAAGCCGAGACCAGGACAAACCTAGACAGCCCCTAACACAGGAGACCCAGAGAAGAGGCACGACAGAGCATCCCCTCAGAAAGTCGAGAGGAAAGCTGGGCTGAGTGGAGGCGGAGGCTTCCCAAACGGACCCAGAGTGTGTTCCCACCATGGGTGACAGTGCAGATCCTGGGGAGGCCCACAGGCCCACACTGGCAGGCACCGGGAACCCCCGCAGCAGGGACACTGACAGGGTTCTTAAAAGCAGGTGCTGCCCTGTGTGGCAAAGCCCAGGACTCTGGACGTCTCTGAAACCAAGGCCCCAACTCAGAAGAATCCCAGCAGCAGAACACGGTGACACTGGGACTTAAGAACCCAAGACTGGGACAGCCAGAGGGGCCCAGTCAGGTCACCCCAAAAAGGCCTTGAGCAGCACCCAGGTCTCCTGGATCCTAATGTCCCAGGGGGTTCCCAGAGGGAATCCTCAAACCCTGCAGGTGCCTGAAGAATCCGAGGCCCCCTCAAATTGGGAAGACCCACATTTGTTCCCACTTTGAGCTCTGTGTGCAGAGAGGGGACCCCACGTACCTTCTCAAACTCGAGCCGGATGGGTGGTGGAAAGTGACCCGATACCCAGTCAGCGGCCTCGCGCCCCAGGGCCATCGCCTCAGCCACAGAGGAGACCCCGAATCTGCACATGACAGAGTCAGTGTCTCCATACACCACCTGGGGGGAGAGGATCCTTCTGCCACCTTGGGGGTGGGAGAGCAGGCAGGGTGTGACCAGAAGGCACGGGGACGTCAGGACCTGGACCCCTGCAGTCCCACCTGTCCGGCCCATCGTAGGGTGTGGCCGGGCAGCCCCTGACCTTGGCGTCCGCACTGTAGCCGTTCCCCACTGTGTACTTGGCCTCGACCAGTTGCTTGGTTTTCTCAATCATTTGACGCCCGAACCCGGTGACACTCTGTGGGCGGAAGACAGTGCAGTGAAGGCCCAGGGGCCACTTGAAGCCACTTCCTCACTTCCGGGGGTGTGAGCTTGGGCAAGTGGCTCCAATCCCTTCAGCCTCAGTTTCCAAATTTGCAAAAACGGAGCTACTAAGCTGCTCCTCAGTGGTCTGGGAAAGCAGTGGGTTCCCGGGGCCGGAGCTCCGGGCAGACAAGGAAGTCGGCACGTCCCCAGTGCTGGGAAGGCCAGAGCCTGTAGAGGCCCTGGGCAGTGTGTCACCGAGACGGTGAGCTCTCCGTGGTCTGGGGGCACTGATGGCCTGGCCCCTTGCCGGTCACCAGGATCACAACTCTGCAGCCAGAAATGACCCTACCTGTGCCTGTGTGCTGGTAGATACGCCCAGGCTAGCTGGCCGTGCCACCCTCACTGAGGAAGCACTCCTCCCCACCAGTCTTATTTCACAAATACGGAAACTCGAGCTGCAAGTGGGGACACCAAGCAGAGATGGGAGTAACACTTTTTTTTTTTTTTAAGAGGTTTTGGCCTTAGGATGCTTGCGCTTTTGGAGAGACAGTGAGACAGAAAGTGAGAAATCAGCCCTCGGGGAGATGGCCACCCCACAATCTCTTCTCCACTCTCCTCCCGGGATCGTAGGCTCGCATGCACACGCCCCAGCGTGTTTTAAGCCACTGGGTCCAGGACTTGAACTGCAGTTGGCCATGTGGGAGTCCAGCGGCATAGCAGCTGCACCATGGCCTCAATACTTGTCTCTGTATGTCTTCAGTCAGAACATCTTTTCTGTTGTTTATTGTTTTTTATGTTTTCCTACAGGGCGCGTGGACTCACTGAACACTGACAGAGAAAGAGAAAGATCACTGCCCAGGGGCAATGGCCACACCCAGTCCCTCCTCAGTACTCTCCGGGATGTGGGCACGCATACACACACGCCCAGTGTTTTTCAAGCTGCTGGGTCTGGGACTCAAACCGCAGTCTGCTGTATGGGATGGCACCAGCTGGCCCAAATCTGTCTCTGACTGGTGCGTGTAGTCTATTGGTGTTTGGTGTAACCTCCGGTATGTTTTAAGTGTTTATTTTCTGACTTCTACTTGTTCCACCTCATATGTTCCTTTTTCTTTTTTTTTTTTTTCTGAATGATTCAGTGCTTTTTTATTTCATCCTCTAACTCCATAAGCCTGAGAGACAAGAATAAGGACAGGGGCCAATAGACCTTTTTTCAGGAAGAAGCCAGAGGGAAAGGCGGAATGGGACACTCCTGGCTGCACCTCTCCTTAGGGCTGGAGTGCCACCAGGGAGGCTAGGGAGGCACCTGGGGACCACGGGAGGCCCAGCAGGGAGGCAGTAAGGGGCACGCCTTGCACAATGGTCTCATTCTCACTGCCTCCTGGGATGGGACTCTATGCTCTTAGAACGCCCTACCTGGTAAGAGCGAGTGAGTTTACCAAGGACCTCGGGCCACACCCAGTAGTTTAGGCTATAGTATGGCTGATGACGGGGCCTTGAGCAGTGCCAGCTGGGCCTCTGGAGGGCTGGAGACAGTACCTAAAGTCGGTCACATAGGGACTCCATGCCTGTGTGACTGACCTCTATTAAAAACCCTGGACAGGAGGGCCGGCAGGTGGTGTGGTGGTTAAGGGCGCTGGACTCCCACATGGCTGACCATGACTCGAGTCCTGGACCTGACGGCTTGCTTTCTCACTTTCCCTCTCTCTCGCTCTCACTCTGTCCTTCTCTGGTCAAATTAAAATAAATAAATAAAGTTAAATAAAAAGTAATTATTAATAAAAAAAAAAAAAAGAAAGAAACGGGACACGGAGTCAGCAGGTGGCTCAGGCCAGTGGTGGTTAAGGCTCTGGGCTCCCACATGGCTAACTGTGGTTTGAGGCCTGGACCTGGCAGCTTACTTTTTCACTTTCTCTCTTATGAGTTCACGTGTCCTATAGCAAATTAAAAAAATAATAACAGTAATAAATGAAATGTAATAAATAATTCTTTAAAAAATAAACAGGAGGGGACCAGCAGGTGGCGTTGTGGTTAAGGTGCTGGACACTCCCATATGGCCGACCACGGTTCGAGTCCCAGACCTGGCGGCTTCCTTTCTCCCTTTCTCTCTCTCTATGTCTCTCTCTGGTCAAATTAAAATAAATGAATGAATAAAATTTTAAAAATAAATAAATAAATAAATAGGAGCTGGGAGGTGGTGTGGTGGTTAAAGGGTGCCGGACTCCCACATGGCAACTACGGTTTAAGTCCCAGGCCTGGCGGCTTGCTTTCTCACTTTCCCTCTCTCTCGCTCTCACTCTGTCCTTCTCTGGTCAAATTAAAATAAGTAAGTAAACAAAAAGTTAAATAAAGGACCAGCAGTTGGCGTAATGGCCATGTCACTGGACTCCCATGTAGTCGACCACAGTTTAAGTCCCAGACCCGGTGGCTTAAACTCATGCCTGGCAATCCCTCCAAGTCTCGGTGTGGAGCCATGTGAAGACTGACACACTCCCCGGGCAGGGAGAGAGCTCCCCATGGCTGGAGGGAACCAAGCGAAGGTGCACAAACACTACTCTGGAATGTGCTGGGACTCAAACCCCACAGGAGGGAGCTGGACGAGAAGACTCTTCTAAGGCACTCTGAGGCCAGGAGCTGAAGCACGGACCAGGCTGAGCATCTCCTTCACCGTCGCACTACAAACTGGCCTGCTGTCGAAGCAGAGCTGCATGGGCAGCAGGCCCGGACCCTGCTGTGGGTAGGGGGAACTGGCTGCCCACTTCCTTCTCAGAGCCATGCGCTGACCACACGCCCGCTCAGAGTTTTCACACCCGGAGTGCGAGGGAGGACTGTGGCACTTGCTCCGACGAAGACGGAGGTCAAGTGCCCCACCGAGGACACACAGCAAATTGCCCAAGCCCAGCTGTCCCCAGCCCGCCCTGGTCCCCCTGGAGCAGAGACACAGCCTGTGTCCACCAGCAGAAGGGCTGGGATGTGCATTCCTCCCCAGTGGCCTGCTCTGCCCAGTCCGTCACTCCCCATCTCCTCGCCCCATCTGAGCACCTCCTGTGTACTAATCACATCTGTGGCTGTCACTGTCCGTGTCCCTACTGGGCTATGAGCTACATGAGGACAAGAAAGACCATCCGTTCTGTCACCCCCTGCATCTCCAGGTGCAGAGTGGCCTGAGGCGTGGCGCACGCTCAGTAAGCCCTTGCTGAATCTTGCTGAATGAACAAGCGGACCAGCTGCTCAGACCACACTGGCATCCCTTCTCTAACAGGCGATGGGTCGGATGGCCACACCCAGCCCCGGGATGCACCTCCAGCCCAGGGAGCCTACCTGCACCCTGCCTGCAGGGACCTGGGCGCTTACCTGTGAGATCTCCAAACATGGCAGCCTGCCCACCTGAGCGCCGGTGAAGCCGTACACGGAGTTGGCGCTCACCTTGAGCGCGAGTTGCCGCCCGTCCAGCACCTGCCGCCGCAAGGGGTCTGTCTCCTTGGCCAGCTCAGCCTTGGCTCTGGGGAAGGGGGTAAAGGTCACTCAGGAGGCACCCCAGGTCTCAGGGAGTGGCCAAACCCAGGCTGGTCAGGATGCCTTTCTAGAAGGGATGCCACGCAGCTGAGCACTCAGGGCACTGCGCCAGGCACCTGGGCGAGGAAGCAGACAGCAGCTGCCCAGAGGACGCCGTGTGCACGTTCACACGCAGCTGCACGAGTGTGGCGGGTGGCCCCGCTGACCCGGTGCGGGGGACTGGCTGAAGCCTCGGGGGGTCTGCACCCTGTGGGAGGGTAGGCGGGGCTCATGGGCACACCTCTTCCGAGCACTGAGCAGGTTCTCCAGGATCTGGGGCAGCAGCCCTTTCCGCACCGACGTCTTCACAAACTCGTCCCCTGTGGGGGTCTTGATGAACTGATCCGCAGTCAGGCTGGGTCAGGAGACAGTGAGGGGTGTTAGGCCACCCTGCCGCCTCCTATGCTCCCTGCCCTGAGGCCCTGCCCTTGGCAGTGAGCCCGCTCCGGCTCCCTCCAGGTCCTCCGGCCCCTTGTGTCTCCCCTCCCCACCCTCTTTCTGAGCCTGTGTCCCCCACCAGATGGGGAATTCCTAAAGGTAGGCCCAGGTTGGCCCCGGGGGAAGAGGTGAAAAGCGAGGTGCTGTACCCCAGCTTCTGGGCAGCCCCGGGCCGCAGGAGTGTGGTGTAGCACAGGTTGTGAGCCATCATGATGGACGGGTACAGCGAGGAGAAGTCCAGGGTGGCGATGGGGACGTCGTAGTACCTGGGGAGGAGGGCGGGGGGAGTCAGGGCCAGGCCCTGCTCGGCTGCCCCGCCTCGGCTCAGAGCCTTACCCTTTCAGGGGCTCGATGACAGTGGCGCCTGTGTAGTCCTCACCACCCTCTGTCTTCACCACGGGCATCAGCAATCCCTCACGCATGGCCTGGCAGAGAAAGTCGGGAATGGAGGGCAGGCACGGCAGGTATACGCGGACGGGGAGCCAGCATGGGAGAGACAGAGACGGGAGAGATGGAGAGAGCCTTCCTGGAGGGGAGCCAGGAGAGTGGCGGGGGGGGGGGGGGGGGGAGGCGCCCCCGCCCCCA